TTAGAAAGGATTAAGAGCTGTGGTGATATACTATCATCTATCTATCTATCTATCTATCTATCTATCTATCTATCTATCTATCTATCTATCTATCTATCTAATCTAATCTAATCCATCCATCCATCCATCCATCTATCTATCTATCTATCTCCAGTACGCTGGCTGAGGAATTCTGGGGGTTGAAGTCCACAAGTCATAAAAGGGCCAAGTTTGAAGACCCCTGTTCTAGATTCATCATGCCGGTAGAAGTCCTGAGCCTTGCCACACAAAATATTCCAAATTCAATCAGCCCTCAATCCGGCCCCAAGGACTTATAAAGCAACAGCCACCTCTCTTCTGGGTGGATATTCTGGAAAGGACTGTCCATCTCGAGAGAGCGCCAGACTGGGCTAAGCGCTGCAGAGGAGTGAAAAAAGCCAGGCGGCATTGGGGAAGATGAAGCGCAAAGAGTGTCTCCTCCTCACATGCGCACCACTGAGCCATAACGGGCAGCTACCGCATTAGCAGCTTCATACCTGCTGCAGTGACGACGCTCTTCCGCTCGAACCGCCGCACCTGCACCGCCACTCTCCGGAGCCCTTCCGGTCGTCCGCCGCTGAGGAGCCATTGTTCCAATTAAGCAGCTCTACCTGGACCCCTAGGGATGCTACCTCCGAGCGCCCAGGAGGAGCAGGAGGAGGAGGAGAAGGGAGGCAGCGACCAATAGGCTTTCACAGAGCCCGAGCCGGAAGCCCAGGGAGGCGCAATTGATCCCAGAGAACGCGAGCAGTCAGGCATGCTCAATCCAGCCTAGAGCAGCCGAATACTAGCTCACGGAGGCGGAAAGGTGAGCAGTTAGTTGTTGCTGGAGAGGTGCGTGCGCTGCTATAAGGTAACGGGGAAGCAGGTGTAGAGCTTAAAAGGAGAGGTCGCAGGGTAAGGGGTGGCGCTTGAGCCATGAGCAATATATCTAAGAGGTTGCATTTACTCTGGTTATTTTTCCTGTGCTTTCTGCTGTCTGTCTGTAAGGAGATGAGACCCTGCGAAGGGGTGAATTCAGGACGCTAGTTTGGTCTTGGAGAGGCTCGTGGAGGTTTTGCTAGTCTGAGTTGCGGCTATCCCAGAATTGAAGGTCACCTGCCATTCTGTAAAATTCACACATATACCCCTTTCTCGCTGTTACCTTAACACGGGTAACGTGTGAGATCCTTGAGGACAAAGATCTGCTTTTTAATTTTAAAGATCCTTAAGTTCTTGTAGGAAGTCTTCGGAATGTGGTTATTCTCCGTCTTGTGAGTGGTGTTTGATGTGCAGATTGTTCTGATGTTTAGGCTCTTTTTTAAAATTGTTTTTCTATTTTAAAGGTAAGTTGCCCAGAGTCATTCTAGCATGGGGTAACTTCTAAATCTAACAAATAAATGAAAATACATTCTATTTTTAAAAAAATATATTTTATTATTTTTTTAATCTAAACATCGATATTTGGTAAACAGCGTGTTGTCTGGGTTTCTATTTACAAAGTAATCACCAACGGTTAATTTCTATATTCCAAAATCCACATTATAACTTTGCTTGATTTTCTCTTCTTCCAATAATATTCTCTTTGCAACCTAAATTAATACAGTTCTTATTAATTTGATAGGTAACAATTAAATATAAAGATTTTTCTAAAATTTCTATAATAATCTCATTAATATCATGCTTCTTTTCTATCTGGTCATCTTGGTTGCCTCGTCACAAATCCTGTTTACAATTCTTATTTAAATTTATTTTCCCTACAATGTTCAAAACATTTCTACTGATTAAAATTTTCCCAGAATTAATTACCTTAAAGCAGGGCTTTTCAACCAGTGGTACGGGTACCACCTGTGATACATTGGCACCTGGCAGGTTGTACGCGAACATCCTAGAAAAGTAGTGGGGGAGGGGAATGAGCTGAACTGGTGGCAGCACGGCACAAGCCTGAGCGAGAGAAGGCTGGAGCTGCAGGGCTGTCAGGGCTCAGTGGAAGCGCCAGGATCAGCGCCAGGCTCCAGCTGGAGCTGATCCTGGCGCTTCTGCTTAGTCCTGAAGAAGCGCCGATCAGCTGGAATGTTGCAGCATCTCCAGGGTCTTGTGATTTATATTCAGATGCTTGGCAACTGATTCATATTTATGACGGTCACAGTGTCCCAGGATCATGTGAAGTGACCAAAACCCTGCTGCAACCACCCAGCAGATGGGGGGAATAAAAACCAAACACCCCCCACCCCACCCCGGCTGCCAATCCTCAACAGAAATGCTCACAACAATGAAAACCTCAGACAGGAGAAAGAGCGCTGCTGGGTGGGCAAGCAAGTGTCTTGCTCGGCTGTGGCTTGGGGGGGCACTTTTTTCAGTGCCCTTGTAACTTTGAACAGTCACTAAGTGAACTGTTGTAAGTCGAGGACTACCTGTACTTTATCACTTTTTTCCTTTTTTTTTGGTCATCAAGTTTTTGACACCTTGCTAAGCGACGAGTGGTACTCGGATATTGCCATATCCTAAAAGTGGTACAATGGGTGAAAAGGTTAAAAAGCCCTGCTAAAGTATTTAAATCTATTTTCATATCTTAAAAAATAAGTAAGAAAAAGACACAGAAAAAAGACATAGAAAAAGAAAAGACATGAGAGAGAAAAAGAAGAGAAAAAGAAGGAAAAAGAGAAAAAAGCAGAAGAAAAAAATAATAATATACTACTTAAAATACGTATCCCTCTTGAATTAGTATACACTTGTTTCCAAATTCTTTCTGTTCTTTTTACCCATAATTAAACCTATGTTTAATCTTTAAATGTTCCATTTAATAAATCCAATCATCTAATATTTTAACTATTCAAAATATTTTTCCCATTTTTAGTTATCCATTGGAATTTTCTTAAAATCAATTACATTTAAATATCTAAAACATTTTCTTTATGTTAATCATCCCACACATTTTTATAATCTCATATTGAAAAAGAAAAAAAGATACTGTCTTACTTAGAGAGTTCATCCCTCTTAAACTAAAATCTTTCAATTTCTTCAGCCATATTCAAACAAGTGTTTAATTTTTAAATATTCCCTCTGATACACCCCATCATCTAATTCCCCAATTCTCACTTTAGCAGGTGTACCCAGAAATGGATTTGTTAAATAGGATTTTCCCCAATATGTCCCAATAATTTGCTATGTACCGCATATTTTATAACTGCAGTATATATGATACACTTTGATGCAGAAGATCTCCAGTTGCATCCCTGGAATCTCTAGATAGGGCTGAGAGAATAGCAAGCTGCTTCAGTTAACATGGTACCTTCCAGATATGTTGAGCTACAGCCTTTTATCCATGCCCAGGTTCCTGACTGGTTCTCAAAAGATTAAGTAGGATCATATCTAGTTAGTGCTTGAATTGGGGACCATAAAGAAACATTAGGGTTGGGAATTTGAAAACTTCCTAGAAAAACTTCATAGCAAACCAGTTCAATAATGCTACCAAAAAAATTATATGGATGTGTCTGTGAAGTCACCAGGATTTTAACTCAAAAAAGACTTTGGGTTGACATGCTGAGTTATCAGTGTTCTGAATTTGGCATAAAGCAGTTTCCTGCATCAAATATCAAATATCCTCCTTTATTGACTGCTGTGTATTGTAAAATGTCACAAAACTTTTAGATTTAGCAATATGTCAGATTTAAAAATATTAGTGTAACTGTTTCCCTGATATCTATTTTCTGCTAAATTATTATAAAATGGCTCAGTAACATTTAAACTTTCACAGAATGCTAATAAAATTATGAGGCAGGAACCTTTACTTGGAGAGAAGACTCTCTGAACATGATATGACTTTTTTCAAAGAAACATGCATACAGAGATTTCAGTTGTAATGGAAAATTTATGTCATCCTATACTGATCTAAGTGACAAATTTGCTCTGTGAGATGAATGAGGCTTATGGATTGAAGATGAGAAAGAAATGGGAATACAGGTAGTTTCAACTTATGATTTCAAATGAACCCAAAATTTCTGTTGCTAAGCGAGACATCTGTTAAGTGTGTTTTCCCCCTTTTTATGACTTTTCTTGACAGTGATTAAGTGAATCACTGTTGTTGTTAAGTTAGTAGCACAATTGTTAAGTGAATCTAGCTTCCCCAGGACATTGCAATCATCTTAAATATGAATCAGTTGCCAAGGGTCTGAAGGTTGATCATGTGACCATGGGAATGCTGCACTAGTCATAAGTGTAAAAAGGGTCATAAATCACTTTTTTTAATGCTGTTGCAGCTTTGAAGTCACTAAATGAACTGTTGTAAGTTGAGGACTACCTGTAAATGGGAAAGGTTAGGCATATAACAGGAGGTTGAACTATTTCTTTCAGAAAGGACAGGTTCAAAACATCAGTTTCTTATGGGAACAAGAATCATCCTTGGAGTGAAGAGCTTTATGTAACTAAATGGTCTCTTAATTATGAGACAGGCAGGATAATCATTAAGATAACACTCTCTGGCAACTATCAGGTTTCTCCCAAACCATTAGAGAAACAAGAATGCTTGCAGGCAGAGATTCGGAGGCATAAGATATTACAGGGTTTTTTTAAAAAATAAAACAAAAAGCTAGTGATTGTCAACAATAAGACTCAGGCTATGTATATTGAAGTTTCAATTTGAATTTCTTTCTCTAACCCATACATTGTAACAGACCGAAAGCTACTCATTTCCCAGCACTTATTCACTCATTGAAACGTACGCACTATTACTGTATTGTAATGGACCAGTCTGATTTGGATCCTTAGTTTCTGACTTTGCACATACTAGTGTTCAGTTAGCACTAGGATGGGCTGATCCAGTCAATTTAAATCTTCCTCACAGGCTGTTGTAAGGGTAAAATGATTGAAAGCATAAAAATAAGACTGTATCTGGTGTTAAGAAGCATGCTTCCACTGATATAATAGGATGGTCACCTATGGTATTTGCTTTGTAAAAGCCATGAAGAAAATATGAGTGTTGCTTGTTTTGACATCGTGCCCTCCTGTAAGTATAAAGACTCACAAAATGTTGTTTTGTGGCAATTTTTTATTATCCTATTTAATGATGGGGCAAATGAGGCAAGTGGTAACACTACTGCTCTTTTCCAGTATATCATTTGGTTTACTGCCGACAGCAAAGACAGAAGAAAATATAATGATGGTTTCGTCTCCATTTGATTTGCACCTGGTGCATCTGGATCTCAAGGGGGCTCCACCCAAAGTCTCATACCTGGCAGAGGTAACACAGTCTTTATGTGTATGATCAAGGAAGTGATTTCTAGCTCCACCCAGCTCAAAAAAGTAGTCTTCAATCTTTATATTCTATAACTGCTGAGGAGATTTCAGTAGGAATGTGGTGGGAGATAAATGTAACCAGTCAGTCAATTACAATAGCGTTCCTAGATCTATTTTGTATGGAGTAGCTGCAGTGTTACTACAGTTCAGTTAACTCTCTATTTAAAAAGAACAAAGACCTGGAAAATAATACTTTAGAAATAATAGCTTCTAAATCAGCAATAATTGGTTTTGAAATGTGACATTAGGAAGAACTCAAGAGTTGTGCTGGATTATGCTAGCCATCTTTCTAGTATCACACTAAACAAGTAAATGTCTCTGGTAGCATAGGAGTATTTCCCACCTGTTTTCCCCAGCAACTTATTTCTTGAAAGCTGGTAGCAGAGTTACAATTGTAACGGGGCCTGCCTGTCATGTTGTAATTGGTGATGGTTGTAATTTGAGTCAACCCATGTGACTAACCAGATTTTTACAACCATTTCCGCTGCTGTCATTAAGCGAATGCTGCAGTCATTAAGTGAATCAATAAATAGTTTGCTATGGACGTAGTTTTGCCCCAAACCTGAAGTAAATGCCAGTTTTCGGCAAAAAAAATGTTATAATGTCATAAAATGTTATAAAACAGTGTCATGTGACTACAGGACATTGCAAATGGGCATAAATGCATTTCAGTTGCTGAGCTCTTGAAGTCCAGTGAGGTAACCGTCAAAACTTCGAATCCGGGTCATAAGTAATTTCCAGAGAGATCTGTCATAACGTTGAACAGTCGCTAAGCAACTGGTGATAAGTCCAGGACTACCTGTACTATGAAACCATTATGACTATTAGCCATTATCTTCCATGACTTTATCTAATTCCTCCCATCTTGGGGACCATGTTTTCCAACCATCATCTTTCCATTTGCAAGGTTAAATACGTGCTATGTATTGTTCCTGTTAGTTGTCCTGAATCTCCCTCATTCACTTGAAATGTATGAACCTGGATTCTAGCACTTTGAAAGAAGAAAGCTGCTCTTTCCCCATTTTTGTACTGTATGCATAATGTTTATAATTTCTCTATAAGAAAGGAGAATGCCAAGGAAGAGTCCACTCTATGCTCGCTTTATTTTTTAAATGGGGCAAAAAAAACAGCTAAAACATGCTATCTCACAAGATCTAAGACTAGTGATCAATATACCCGGGAGGCATTTCTAAGGTCATTGTTACCTTATAAAAGTAAATGTAGCAATTCACCACTGACTAGAGATTTGAGATGTTTTATGCAACCAACAGATCTTCCCATTGCTCCATGTCCTGGGTGCAAATGGTATTCTCCTTGAATATGAGGATATGTACCCTTATGATGGAGAACTGAAGCCACTCCGAGCAAATGATGCATACAGGTATGTTAGCCAGCCAGTTATCTTAGATGACATAGTCTCTGGTTCTCTTGTCTCACTGAAATCCCAGGTTTTATAGAGCTGTACCAAGCAATTGGAACTGATGTAAATGTACTACTGAGAGGCAAACTCTTTATTTTTTTTAATATCCCTCAAAACCAATCCCATTCAGTGCTTATTTCTTATATTTGCGCTGTACTGGGTAGTAGTTTAGAATCTAGAGTATCTAATATTTAGAAACTTTGCTTAAATTTCCTGCAGGTATGGACACGTAAAATTGATGCAATCCGTCTACTATGCAAAGCAAACACGTCCATGCAAGATGGAATTCTAAAAAAAAACAAAACCTGGTACTAAATGTATAATTTATTAATGGAGGTCTCTCTTTTTCTAGTCCCTCTGAGGTTAAAGAGATATTAAAGCTGGCAAAGTCGCATGATTTAGAAGTTATCCCCTTAATACAGACGTTTGGACATATGGAGGTAAGTGCCAGCTCCTAGATAGGGACATTTCACCAGTTTGTGTAATTTTTGTACCGTAATTCTGAGTTGTTTTATTGATAGGCTTACTTGTACAGACTTGCATTTGAAGCTATGCAATTTTCTGGATTACTGTATTATATTTGCTCTGGTTTATGGATTACTACCTCTGGCTCTTGCTTCTCCTGCAGTTTGTTCTGAAGCACAAAGAATTCTGCCACCTCCGGGAAGTGGCAATGTTCCCCAACACAGTGAACCCTCATAAAGAAGATTCCTTGAAGTTGGTTAGCACAATGATAGAGCAAGTAATGGCACTACATGACGATCTCCGATGGTTTCACATTGGCTGTGATGAGGTAATGCTTGGAAACATGGGCCTGAACTTGATCAGGGGAGACAGGGCCGTTTAGCAGTGCTCATAGTCTATTGGCACATTATTATATTTTCTTGTGAGGTTTTTTTTTGTTAAATTTATTTGCCACCTATCTCGCCCTGGGGCTACTCGAGACTGTTTTAATGTTTTTCTTCATGCCAACTTCCATGGGATCATTCTGATCAGTTTTTGTTATGCATAAAGAACTTACACTTTTGTATCTTTCATTTTAGCCACATGTCATTATTTTTCTGCTAGTTTGATTGTACCCTGGTGTAAGGAAGATGAAGAAACCTCTTTCAAAGACAAGGAGGAAAACAAAAAAACATATATTTCAGTTAGCTGCTTTCCTGAAACAAAATATCTGTGTTTCAGCTGTTTTGATCCACACAAAACACACACACACAAAAAGCTGCAAAGTCCATGCAGAGAGTAGATGAGGCAGGACACACTAACATTGTTCTAGTCACCTTGTAAAATGACTGCAGAATTCCACTGGGTTTTGTTTCAGTCAACACCCAGAATAATTTCATGGTTTATTTCCACCAAACTGGCTGATTCAAAAGCAAAGCTTTGAACATGATGTTTTCTTTCACATTTGGAAGAAAATGTATTTTCTTATTGTGTTCACTCTTGTGCTTAGATTAATAACAATTTTGCCTTCCCATCTTTGCTATTATCCTGCAGTTATCTGATATCATGAGATATTTTCTTACAAACAGCACAGTATAATTTAGCTTTATTACCTCATAAATATTGGAGTAGAATTAATAATGCCTGCAGGATTTTGTCAAGCTTCTCAGTGAGGGAAACCACAGATCTCTAAGCACTTAAAAGTTGATCCTGACTCATCACTGTGACATAGCAGTTTTGCTAAATTAGAATCTTTATTTCTGACAAGAATGAAGCCACACAGAGTGATTGATTGCCTACTGTTAGTGCAAAGTAGTACATTAATTTTATACCTGGGGTGTGTTAAAACCAGATTTCTTTTGATTTCTGCCTTGTCCGCATCAATTTTCCAGATATAGAATTTTGGTATTTGCTGGTTTTCACATTTGTTAGTCCATTTTAACGTGACCTGACTTTATTTACTAAATGAATTTATATCCTGTCTTTTGACCAAGAGCTCAAAAAGGCCTACAATGAGTGTTAGATGATTTCCAAATAACATTAGCAACATGAAAGAAAGTACTTGAAAGAAAAATAGGTATCTTCAGGTGCTTCTGCAGAAGGGAAAGCAGTAATAAATGAAATTTTCCCTTCTTTTCGTGGTAAAGATAATCATTCTGAATGTGAAAAGCAGCTTTTTGATTATTCAGAAAAGCCTGTTTCCAAATGACATAGCAATATAGAAGGTATATGAAAGAAAAATATTGAACGAAAGTTTTGTTTTTATATCTTCAGGTGTATTACCTTGGTGAAGGGGAAGAATCCAAGCAATGGCTGCAGCAAGAAGAAAATACTACTGAAAAGTTGTGCCTAGCCCACATGAAAGCAGTGGCCAATCACGTAGTCTCAACCCATCCCACAGTGAAACCAATTGTGTGGGATGACATGCTGAGGAGAATGAGTGAAGAAACTCTGAGAGGTAGGTAATCCCAGCTGTAGCTTTGGAATATTTGAGCAAAGTCAATAATTTCTGAGAGGTCACTTTTTATCAGTCACATTTGCACTAAATAATAAGCCATTAGGCTTGCTTAATGTGAAAGTGCCTGCAGGCCAGAGCAGCCTGTCTACCAGATCTCCTATCTATGTTTGGGGTCTCACATACAAACTATCTCCTTTTCAAATTATCTGTATGAAATAGTCATAAATAAATTATGGATAATATCTATAGCTAAATTGAGCGGAAAGGAACATGCATCCTACATTTGGGTAAGATTAGCTGTTTGAAACCTACAGATGGATATTTGGTAATTGCATTGCTTGAAAATAAGAGCCAGTGCACACACAAATATCAAACAAACTTTCTTGTTATGCACTCTGTTGAGAATATAAGTATTATAATCCCATAATCTCTCAAGGATCTTGAGGTACTTTTGCAGAAGAAAGATAACCATAAAGGAAATTTTCCCTTCTTTCTTTTCATGATGGAGATAGTTATTCTGAATGCATAATGAAGCTCTTTGACCATTTGGAAAATGACCATTTTTCATTTTTCATAAAAAGCTATGTTTGTTTAGTGGCTATTTCTACCGAGTATGAACATCATAAAAAAGTAAGCATTGAACCTAATAATTTTTTAAAATATGGATAAAGCCAAATTGCTATGCTGTTTGAAGTGGATTCTTTTGGGAACACTAAAGACACACACACACACACACAATACACAATTAAAGCATTTAAACCTATAATCATTAAACTGGCACCAAAAAGAATGTCTATTGTGAACAGAAAAACAGTTGAAAAATAAAAATCCCAAAACTATATAAATGCTCCTGCTTCAAACAAGAAATGTAGAAACACATTAATGAAATGAATTCAAAAAGATACTGTTGAATTAGAGATAAATAATGTTGATTCAGTGCAGAACTGGGGAATTGATGTAGAATTGTATCTTCTTCACTCTTTCCCTCACAAACCATATTTGGGACTAGGGTCAAGTATATGAGGTATACCTTCACGATTCATAATTCTCTAAAACTGGTTTAAAATTAAAATATGAAAGTTAAAAAGGAAACAGTATTGTGAGATCAATTGTACAGATCTTGTACAATTTCATGAGTGAATGATAAAATTACTTGTTTTGCCCATTTTTATCCCTGACTTCATTAATCCATTCTAAGAGTACTTTCTTTTCAGAATTTTAGCCACTGTTCTCTAAATTACAGAAATAGGAATTTTCATACAAACCTGAGAACAAACATCATAAAAGTTTGATCATCACAATCATTTGCATTTCTGTTTCTTTCCAGATTCTGGGTTAGCACAACTGACAGAGCTGATGATTTGGGATTATTCTACTGATCTTGATGTGGAGAGTAAAGGTTTGAACTTGGATGTTTTCACCTGGAAAAAGTGTAACTAAGATACATAGTCTTGATGATCAGAGTAAATACAGCTTCCCATCTACATTCAGCAGATAGTATGTTACACTAGAATTGGGATTAAATCTCCACTTAGTCAGGAAGGGCACTGGATGTTGCCAGAATAAACACAGAGTATGCTTGTTAGAAACAGTCTGTCATGTTCCCTTTTGCTCAAGTTTTTAACAATAACAAACAATTGGCCTGATTGGGTATGGAGGCACTAAACACTAATTGAAAAAATCTTATCTGCTCTTTATTCCCTTTGTGCTTCTGACTTACACAGAAACATACACACAGGATAGGTGGAAGCAGCAGAAATATTGCTACAGAAACAATCCCATTTGTTGGTGTTCCTGCCCTTTTTGCTCTTTCCCCAAAAGATTAATGGCTTCTAATTATAAGCTAGCCATTTATTTGGTTGGGATAAGATATAGATCGAGGCATGATTATAGATTTTGATTAAGGTCTGACTTACAGTCTGAATTTGCATAATGTGCTAAACCAATGGACTGCATGACTTAGTATGCATCTGTTCTAGCATCTTCAAAAAACTCACAATTACTCTCATGGACAAGATATATAAGCAAGAAAGGAAAGCTTATTCCATTTGTTGATATATGTTAAGGTAAAGAAATAATTAGCCCTTTGCTTCTAGTTCTTTTTTACAGTTTCATTTCAACAGGAACAATTTGTACAATTATTTTTAAAAAGATCTTGGAAAGAGAAAATAGGCATGTTTTAATAATAAACCTATCAGTGCAAAGAAAAAAAACCGCTTTGAGGGAAAACCCCACTAATTTCAAAAGTTTTAAAAACAATTATCTAGGTGAGACAGTTGAAAGAATACAGAGTTGGTGTTAATAAATAGTACCTGGAGGTATTTTTTTTAAAAAATAAGTTAATATTAGGCAAATTCATATCCTATACTTTAACTGAGTTTATCAACTCTGTAGACAGAGCCTTAGAATCACTATCTTTTAATACTGCATTACTAACCTAAGTTAGTTTGTACTTGTTGCAAATCAGCTGTAAGAAAAGGGCCTTAAACATCTCAAAATTTTCATAAATTTCGCCCATAAATTTCCCCTTGCTCTTAATAGTTCATGCAACCCGTGTCATTGCTGTCTCTTTTTTATGCAGCCAGTCTCATTGAAAAGTACCAGAAGTGTAACTTCTCAAAATTCTGGTTTGCTAGTGCCTTTAAAGGAGCCACTGGAGTAAATCAGTGCTTGACACTCATTGGACATCATCTTAAAAACCACGAGCAATGGCTGAAAGTGGCCAAGAGCTGTTCTGTTGGTATCATAAGAGGGATCACTCTGACTGGCTGGCAAAGGTAACTACATTGTATATAGATCAGTAGATATAATAGCATCATTAGTATATTGAAAATTGGAAGAACACTCTTAAAATTGGTTTTGGCCAATTTTTTCATATTAAATCATCATACATCATCATGAAGTCCTAGCTTTAAAAAAACAACTTTAAATTCCTGATCGTATTGGAGCTATCACTTGAGACAAAATTTCCACTTTCTCCATTAAATTTGATGATTGTCTCCAATTGAGCCTAAACCTCTTTGGCATCTTCTGTTTGTATCATTTTCACAACTATCCTTGGTTCCCAATTTCCTAAGACCTGAGGTTTCCTTTCATATTGCATCTCCTAATAATTGCATTGCATAAAGGTGCTCAGACACACTGGAAAAGAACATTCAGATGTGTTATATGTTATTTGTGTTAGCTGAAGAGGTATGTAGTCCTAAAGTTCTTGCATTCTGAGATGCTACTGCTATATTGCCTTACTAGGCCTGCTTTTTTTTCTTTAGGTATGATCACTTCTCCGTTTTGTGTGAACTTCTGCCTGTGGGAATTCCATCCTTAGCTATATGTCTCCAAGCATTAAGGAATGGTACAGTATGATTCTTTCTTGAGTTAAACCACATGCTTAGGATCTATCAACTCTTTGAGGAATCCAAACAGGAAACTCCAACCATGAGTACTCACACTAACTTTATTGTAACATAGTAACAGAATCTTGCAAGTCTACTAGCACTTCTCTCTCTGCCTTTCCAGAGAACTAGGAAGAGTCCCTTCTGAGACATTTCTTCACCCCCATTTCCTCTGTGTAGTAAGATATCTCTTCTCTGACCATTACCCTGGCTGCAGCTCTTCTTCCTGTCTCCCAAAGTTATTCTCACAGTCCCTTAACAGCATCATAGTACAAACACGTTTTTAAATTTCATTTTATTAAAAATTTAATAAAACATATACATAAAACTAAAAAATCCAATGAACTATTAAAAAATACAAAAAAAAATAAGCAAAAATAAAAAACATAATAAACAACAAAAATTATGAACCATCTAGGAATACTACCTGTGTATCATGTTTTAAATAATATATCAACATTTCAAGTAAAAAAAAGTGTAAAATGTCTTGAAATCTGTGCCAAGAAAACTTTTTTACTAATAGAATGCCCTTTCAAAAATAGATACATTACACGTCTTGTTTCCAGTCTACTATTCAAAATATTACTTTTTTTAGTATCTCAAAATAATGCCCTTAGCAATTCCCCATGATATAACCAAAAGTTCCTAAAAACAGTAAAATTCCAAATTTTTGGAATGTTATATGTATTGTAATATTGTTCCAAAAAGCTCCAGTAACTCGATTAACTAGATTAACTCATTAACTAGATTAAATCATACCAGCATCGCAAAGAAGCTTCAGGATTACTACGTAATACCAAAAATTCTACATTTCTTCAAAATACCTTTTTCCCATCTAATTTAACCCATGTTTTTAGGTTTGTAACTTATAATAGGCATCTATGATCTTTCACTACATTTAGTACTTTATATGACTAATTGTTGTACCAATATGTGAGATAACAGATTGAAACCTGAGGCAGTGATAAAGTGGTTTGCAACTCCAGGAAAATACTGTTCTTAAATATTTGAGCCCTATCTTAGATATTCCCTGTATGGCATCAAATAGGAAAGATTATCAGATAATTTTAAGCTATTTACATATTTATTTAGAACTTCAGAGACAGATCTAATCTGAAGATTACAGATCCCAAATGTTAAAGTGTCTATAGGATCAACAGCTTTTCAGCAACAGGAAAGGGATGGGCAAGGTGTATGCAGAAAACTGATACAGTCACATGTCCAACCAAGGAACATCTGAACAGGACCTTTACTGCTATTATCACCAACTTGAAATGTGGCAGAAGGAGCATGTCTGAACACTAATGAGACATTTTTGGCATTCCTCCTTGATTTTCCATTGCCATAGTAATAAATCGCTGTATAAGATACTTATCTAATATTGTTTCTTTTCCAAATTTTATGCTTAAAAAAATTCTCTCTTTGGATCTTCAAGGTGGCTATTCAGAAAAAGTGAGAGAAGATGTAGAAAAATTACTGGGGCTCTCCCATTTGGAAATAGACACCTTCATGAGGTAAAAGTCCCAGGTTTTCATTATTATTGAATTATATTACAAATTAAATCTACTATACCTCATCTTCAGAATAAGGATTTGGGAGTGGAACATTTTGGAGAACCCCAGAACATTTTGTTTTGCCTTAAAATTGTGCCAAAATTCCATGATCATGTCATTCCAGGAACAGTTCAGCTCTTTCTGGAAATAATCCTCCAAAAGCAAAAGTGGTTTGAGATATCACAACTCATAAAACTGTTGAACATCACCCAAAATGGCATGGTTTGAGGGGGAGATGTTCCAGATTTCTCTGAAACATTCCATCTTTAGTTTTGCACATCTTTTCTCCTAAATTAGAAGCAAGCAAAGCTGCATAATACATTTTTTAAATTACGTGGAAAAGATTTTCAAGGATAATAGCATCTTGAAGGGATACAGAGGCCATTGAAAAAGGAGGTATAGGACCACAAGTTGACATCCTTGTCTTAAATATTTAGCAATCCAATCAAGTTTAATTAAATTACAGGTAGTCTTTGGGTTATGTCCATTTGTTTAGTAACCATTCAAAGATATAACGGTGCCTAACAAATGGTACTGACCATGGGTTGTTGTAATTTTGTCCATCGCAGCATCCTCATGGTCATTTGATTGTGATCCAGGTACTCAGCAACTGGCTCGGATTTCCAACCATTGCTGCATTCATGGTTATGTGATCACAATTTGTGACCTTTTCTGCTGGCTTCCTATTTCAATGAGGAAGAAAGCAGGAAGTCACAGTCACGAGGTCCTCGCTTAACTGGGACTGCCAGAATTGCTAAGCAATGTATTTCACATGATGACATGCTTTATGACCATGTTGCTTAGCAGTAGCAATTCTGGTTCTGGTCCCAATTGTTGTAACCAGAGGATTACTTGTATAGCTATTGGCTGTTACACAAAAATATGTCTTCCATTTCTGAACATTTGATAGAATCTGTTCATTGTCATTGGATAGAAAACTGCCGTCCATTTCTGCTTTAACAACTTATTTAATACTCATTCGTTCTTTCACTAATGACATCTTATTAGCAGAGACATAAGCAAATATGGGAAGGACATCTGAGCCAGGTGAGGTTTTTGCTACTGAAGTTCTTAATTGTGAGGAAGTCAACAACTACAGTATATACGTTTTCCTTCTACAAAGATCGATCCTTCTATTTATTAGAGAAGATCAAGATTCATTCTCTTCCCTCATTTAATGCATACCTGAATAGGGCTCAGGCATGCAAAAAGTCCTAAATGTATTATCAGGAAGCTCATTCTTTCCCAATATTTTATTCATATTTTTTTAAAAATCCCTTTTAAAAAGGCTGCCCAGAGTGATTCACAATCAAATAAACAATATAATATCTAGTCACTTACAATGAATAAAATGGTTTATTCTAGCCACTTATTATGAAGGCTGATGCAGATTTTCTTTTTGAACAGTGAAATCACAGGGACTTTCCCAGGAAATGAAATTCTCTCGTTTGTGACTCAAATTGCATTCTACCTCAAATCCTCAATAGACGAACTTTTGGAAAATAACAGGTGAGAAATCACACACACCCCTCAAAAAAAATTGATTCGTATATATTCTTACATATAATTGAATTTGTACCTGTATAAAATACAGTATCATTTTGTTATGTATTAAATTACCCAATAAATATTACCTCATGGTTACATGGCATTTAAAGAGTATCAGTATTGTATTAAATGGTCCTGAATAAATGTCTTCTAAATTTTAAATAGCATGATTGGACTTATGTGATGTCTCTCAACTCATNCAGAGAAGGCCCTCCCCCTGGGGGTCGCCAGCCGACATTGCTTGGCCGACGGCACCCTGAGGAGGCCCGCTCTGTGGGAGCGTACCGGCCTGTGGGAGGAAATCTGCGGCAGAAGGCGGTCTCGGAGATAGCCAGGACCGATGCCATGGAGCGCTTTAAAGGTGGTGACTAGCACCTTAAAGCGTACCCGGAAGGCCACTGGCAGCCACAAACCATATTTGGGACTAGGGTCAAGTATATGAGGTATACCTTCACGATTCATAATTCTCTAAAACTGGTTTAAAATTAAAATATGAAAGTTAAAAAGGAAACAGTATTGTGAGATCAATTGTACAGATCTTGTACAATTTCATGAGTGAATGATAAAATTACTTGTTTTGCCCATTTTTATCCCTGACTTCATTAATCCATTCTAAGAGTACTTTCTTTTCAGAATTTTAGCCACTGTTCTCTAAATAGGAATTTTCATACAAACCTGAGAACAAACATCATAAAAGTTTGATCATCACAATCATTTGCATTTCTGTTTCTTTCCAGATTCTGGGTTAGCACAACTGACAGAGCTGATGATTTGGGATTATTCTACTGATCTTGATGTGGAGAGTAAAGGTTTGAACTTGGATGTTTTCACCTGGAAAAAGTGTAACTAAGATACATAGCCTTGATGATCAGAGTAAATACAGCTTCCCATCTACATTCAGCAGATAGTATGTTACACTAGAATTGGGATTAAATCTCCACTTAGTCAGGAAGGGCACTGGATGTTGCCAGAATAAACACAGAGTATGCTTGTTAGAAACAGTCTGTCATGTTCCCTTTTGCTCAAGTTTTTAACAATAACAAACAATTGGCCTGATTGGGTATGGAGGCACTAAACACTAATTGAAAAAATCTTATCTGCTCTTTATTCCCTTTGTGCTTCTGACTTACACAGAAACATACACACAGGATAGGTGGAAGCAGCAGAAATATTGCTACAGAAACAATCCCATTTGTTGGTGTTCCTGCCCTTTTTGCTCTTTTCCCAAAAGATTAATGGCTTCTAATTATAAGCTAGCCATTTATTTGGTTGGGATAAGATATAGATCGAGTCATGATTATAGATTTTGATTAAGGTCTGACTTACAGTCTGAATTTGCATAATGTGCTAAACCAATGGACTGCATGACTTAGTATGCATCTGTTCTAGCATCTTCAAAAAACTCACAATTACTCTCATGGACAAGATATATAAGCAAGAAAGGAAAGCTTATTCCATTTGTTGATATATGTTAAGGTAAAGAAATAATTAGCCCTTTGCTTCTAGTTCTTTTTTACAGTTTCATTTCAACAGGAACAATTTGTACAATTATTTTTAAAAAGATCTTGGAAAGAGAAAATAGGCATGTTTTAATAATAAACCTATCAGTGCAAAGAAAAAAAATCGCTTTGAGGGAAAACCCCACTAATTTCAAAAGTTTTAAAAACAATTATCTAGGTAAGACAGTTGAAAGAATACAGAGTTGGTGTTAATAAATAGTACCTGGAGGTATTTTTTTTAAAAAAGAAGTTAATATTAGGCAAATCCATATCCTATATTTTAACTGAGTTTATCAACTCTGTGGACAGAGCCTTAGAATCACTATCTTTTAATACTGCATTACTAACGTTAGTTAGTTTGTACTTGTTGCAAATCAGCTGTAAGAAAAGGGCCTTAAACATCTCAAAATTTTCATAAATTTCGCCCATAAATTTCCCCTTGCTCTTAATAGTTCATGCAACCTGTGTCATTGCTGTCTCTTTTTTATGCAGCCAGTCTCATTGAAAAGTACCAGAAGTGTAACTTCTCAAAATTCTGGTTTGCTAGTGCCTTTAAAGGAGCCACTGGAGTAAATCAGTGCTTGACACTCATTGGACATCATCTTAAAAACCACGAGCAATGGCTGAAAGTGGCCAAGAGCTGTTCTGTTGGTATCATAAGAGGGATCACTCTGACTGGCTGGCAAAGGTAACTACATTGTATATAGATCAGTAGATATAATAGCATCATTAGTATATTGAAAATTGGAAGAACACTCTTAAAATTGGTTTTGGCCAATTTTTTCATATTAAATCATTATACATCATCATGAAGTCCTAGCTTTAAAAAAACAACTTTAAATTCCTGATCGTATTGGAGCTATCACTTGAGACAAAATTTCCACTTTCTCCATTAAATTTGATGATTGTCTCCAATTGAGTCTAAACCTCTTTGGCATCTTCTGTTTGTATCATTTTCACAACTATCCTTGGTTCCCAATTTCCTAAGACCTGAGGTTTCCTTTCATATTGCATCTCCTAATAATTGCATTGCATAAAGTTGATCAGACACACTGAAAAAGCACATTCAGATGTGTTAAATGTTATTTGTGTTAGCTGAAGAGGTATGTAATCCTAAAGTTCTTGCATTCTGAGATGCTACTGCTATATTGCCTTACTAGGCCTGCTTTTTTTTCTTTAGGTATGATCACTTCTCCGTTTTGTGTGAACTTCTGCCTGTGGGAATTCCATCCTTAGCTATATGTCTCCAAGCATTAAGGAATGGTACAGTATGATTCTTTCTTGAGTTAAACCACATGCTTAGGATCTATCAATTCTTTGAGGAATCCAAACAGGAAACTCCAACCATGAGTACTCACACTAACTTTATTGTAACATAGTAACAGAATCTTGCAAGTCTACTAGCACTTCTCTCTCTGCCTTTCCAGAGAACTAGGAAGAGTCCCTTCTGAGACATTTCTTCACCCCCATTTCCTCTGTGTAGTAAGATATCTCTTCTCTGACCATTACCCTGCCTGCAGCTCTTCTTCCTGTCTCCCAAAGTTATTCTCACAGTCCCTTAACAGCATCATAGTACAAACACGTTTTTAAATTTCATTTTATTAAAAAATTAATAAAACATATACATAAAACTAAAAAGTCCAATGAACTATTAAAAAATACAAAAAATAAGCAAAAATAAAAAACATAATAAACAACAAAAATTATGAACCATCTAGGAATACTACCTGTGTATCATGTTTTAAACAATATATCAACATTTCAAGTAAAAAAAGTGTAAAATGTCTTGAAATCTGTGCCAAGAAAACTTTTTTACTAATAGAATGCCCTTTCAAAAATAGATACATTACATGTCTTGTTTCCAGTCTACTATTCAAAATATTACTTTTTTAGTATCTCAAAATAATGCCCTTAGCAATTCCCCATGCCTGATATAACCAAAAGTTCCTAAAAACAGTAAAATTCCAAATTTGTGGAATGTTATATGTATTGTAATATTGTTCCCAAAAGTTCCAGTAACTTGATTAACTAGATTAACTCATTAACTAGATTAAATCATACCAGCATCGCAAAGAAGCTTCAGGATTACTACGTAATACCAAAAATTCTACATTTCTTCGAAATACCTTTTTCCCATCTAATTTAACCCATGTTTTTAGGTTTGTAACTTATAATAGGCAGCTGTGATATTTCACTACATTTAGTACTTTATATGACTAATTGTTGTACCAATATGTGAGATAACAGACTGGAACCTGAGGCAGTGATAAAGTGGTTTGCAACTCCAGGAAAATACTGTTCTTAAATATTTGAGCCCTATCTTAGATATTCCCTGTATGGCATCAAATAGGAAAGATTATCAGATAATTTTAAGCTATTTACATATTTATTTAGAACTTCAGAGACAGATCTAATCTGAAGATTACAGATCCCAAATGTTAAAGTGTCTATAGGATCAACAGCTTTTCAGCAACAGGAAAGGGATGAGCAATGTGTATGCAGAAAACTGATACAGTCACATGTCCAACCAAGGAACATCTGAACAGGACCTTTACTGCTATTATCACCAACATGAAATGTGGCAGCAGGAGCATGTCTGAACACTAATGAGACATTTTTGGCATTCCTCCTTGATTTTCCATTGCCATAGTAATAAATCGCTGTATAAGATACTTATCTAATTTTGTATCTTTTCCAAATTTTATGCTTAAAAAAAATCTCTCTTTGGATCTTCAAGGTGGCTATTCAGAAAAAGTGAGAGAAGATGTAGAAAAATTACTGGGGCTCTCCCATTTGGAAATAGACACCTTCATGAGGTAAAAGTCCCAGGTTTTCATTATTATTGAATTATATTACAAATTAAATCTACTATAACTCATCTTCAGAATAAGGATTTGGGAGTGGAACATTTTGGAGAACCCCAGAACATTTTGTTTTGCCTTAGAATTGTGCCAAAATTCCATGATCATGTCATTCCAGGGACAGTTCAGCTCTTTCTGGAAATAATCCTCCAAAAGCAAAAGTGGTTTGAGATATCACAACTCATAAAACTGTTGAACATCACCCAAAATGGCATGGTTTGAGGGGAGATGTTCCAGATTTCTCTGAAACATTCCATCTTTAGTTTTGCACATCTTTTCTCCTAAATTAGAAGCAAGCAAAGCTGCATAATACATTTTTTAAATTACGTGGAAAAGATTTTCAAGGATAATAGCATCTTGAAGGGATACAGAGGCCATTGAAAAAGGAGGTATAGGACCACAAGTTGACATCCTTGTCTTAAATATTTAGCAATCCAATCAAGTTTAATTAAATTACAGGTAGTCTTTGGGTTATGTCCATTTGTTCAGTAACCATTCAAAGATATAACGGTGCCTAACAAATGGTACTGACCATGGGTTGTTGTAATTTTGTCCATCGCAGCATCCTCATGGTCATTTGATTGTGATCCAGGTACTCAGCAACTGGCTCAGATTTCCAACCATTGCTGCATTCATGGTTATGTGATCACAATTTGTGACCTTTTCTGCTGGCTTCCTATTTCAATGAGGAAGCAAGCAGGAAGTCACAGTCACGAGGTCCTCGCTTAACTGGGACTGCCAGAATTGCTAAACAATGCATTTCACATGATGACATGCTTTATGACCATGTTGCTTAGCAGTAGCAATTCTGGTTCTGGTCCCAATTGTTGTAACCAGAGGATTACTTGTATAGCTATTGGCTGTTATACAAAAATATGTCTTCCATTTCTGAACATTTGATAGAATCTGTTCATTGTCATTGGATAGAAAACTGCCGTCCATTTCTGCTTTAACAACTTATTTAATACTCATTTGTTCTTTCACTAATGACATCTTATTAGCAGAGACATAAGCAAATATGGGAAGGACATCTGAGCCAGGTGAGGTTTTTGTTACTGAAGTTCTTAATTGTGAGGAAGTCAACAACTACAGTATATACGTTTTCCTTCTACAAAGATCGATCCTTCTATTTATTAGAGAAGATCAAGATTCATTCTCTTCCCTCATTTAATGCATACCTGAATAGGGCTCAGGCATGCAAAATGTCCTAAATGTAATATCAGGAAGCTCATTCTTTCTCAATATTTTATTCATATTTTTTTAAAAATCCCTTTTAAAAAGGCTGCCCAGAGTGATTCACAATCAAATAAACAATATAATATCTAGTCACTTACAATGAATAAAATGGTCTATTCTAGCCACTTATTATGAAGGCTGATGCAGATTTTCTTTTTGAACAGTGAAATCACAGGGACATTCCCAGGAAATGAAATTCTCTCGTTTGTGACTCAAATTGCATTCTACCTCAAATCCTCAATAGACGAACTTTTGGAAAATAACAGGTGAGAAATCATACACACCCCTCCAAAAAAGTTGATTCTTATATATTCTTACATATAATTGAATTTGTACCTGTATAAAATACAGTATCATTTTGTTATGTATTAAATTACCCAATAAATATTACCTCATGGTTACATGGCATTTAAAGAGTATCAGTATTGTATTAAATGGTCCTGAATAAATGTCTTCTAAATTTTAAATAGCATGATTGGACTTATGTGATGTCTCTCAACTCAT